TCTTAACTGAGGCATGGATCTTCTTTCCCTTTCATTTAAAAGCACAAAATATTAGTATAGAATAGACGTTTTCATTTGGGAATATGGACAATTTATATAGAAATAACATGAATACTTACTCTCACATCTGACAGAACCATGTCGAAAGTCTCACCAAACTTCATTGTGAACGTTTTCCAGGTATGAAGAACACGGACTTGAACTCTCCAAGACGTTTTGTAGGGCTTGATGTCATCAAGGTAAGCAATTGCTTGAGCCATTGTTTTTATTTAGTTGCTAGTAAATGCGGTATTTGAGTGATGGATTGTGATGAGAATGGCTTTGATATTTATAGTGAGAAAGGATGCTAGGGTTGTTGGATCTAATATTTCAAAGATATTCGTCAGAATCTTGGAGTATAAGTTGCAAATCAAAGATGGGATAATGACTAATGATTCGAAAATATGGGATAATGACTAATGATTCGGAAATTGTTTAGTTCATGATTCGTAAATATGGGATAATGACTAATGATTCGAAAATTGTTTAGTTCATAATGATTTTGCCATTCTCTAAATCGTTGTTTTTTTAATCATTTAGAAAAGATGGGATAATGACTAAGCAATTCTCTAAATGATTTGCTATATTCGAATATACAGAAGATTATAAAGGAATATGCGTGTAACAATGTAGATTTCGTTGAGATATAGAACTAAACGTGTTCTGCCTTAGATTTTGGTAAGATTGCAATCTTTATGGTCCACCGAAAATGTAGATTTTGCTGTGATCGAAAGCCCATTGAACGTAACCCACCCATCTGAATAAAACGCGGATCCTGTTTACTTAAGTTTTTGTCTTGGACGATTTTATCCTTTAATATGAAGAACAAAAACCAAAATTGAAATCAAAATTGAGGATAAATTAGACAAAAATTCAATTTGTACTTCTCTTTTAATAATAAGAGGATGCAAATAGAAGTTTAGTCATTAACAAAAAAAAAGGTTTTGTTTTAATCTCCATATTTGTACTTCAAAATGCATCATTCAGATGAAACTACTAAACTTATATGAAACTATTAAAAATTAGAAAACTTAGAACTATTTTTTTTCTCTCTAAACTTTTTTCTCTCCTCCTTCTCTTCTTCTAGATCTAGATCTAGTTCTTCTTGTTGCCTCTCTGGTTTGCCCTTCCGGCACCGGAGAGGGTTGGCTCTCTGTTCCTTCTTGCCTCTCTTCGACTGGTCTTGTCTTCAAGAGGGTACGGTTGTTCCTGAACCGTTTTGGCCTCTAGTTGGTGGTCGGTTTTCTCTGATGAGTGGTCCGGAGAGGTTCATGGAGGTGGCTAGGGGAGGTTTGTTTGTTCGATTGCTTGGGAACAGCTTCGTTCGCTTGCTCCGTTGGTCTCGGTTATTCTCCGTGCATCAGGTTTTCCCGGGTGGGTTGTGGCTCTGGTGAAGTTGAGGATTCTGGGTTTTTCTCTCTCGGGTTGAGCTTCAGGAGTCGAATTCCTCTGGTTTTTGTCGGATCTGTGGATCCTCCTCCTCCAGGCGGTTCGACTGTGCTTCTCTCGGAGCTAAGATTTGTTTATTGGGTTTGGCTAGGGTTTGCTCTTAATCTCTTGTCTTGGCTTGCAAAGGTCTCAGGAGTGGCTAGCTTCACCTCCTTCAGTGGCGGTTGTTGCCCTTCTTCCTTTAGATGTAGCGATTTCTCTGTTGTGGTGTTTGTGAGGTCAATTGGTATAGGCATGGTAATGGACGCCAGTGTGCTCGCCGAGGTTTCTTCACGGCTCAACCACCGGAATGGGTGCGGTTGCTGCGGCGGAAGTCTGTGGGAGAATGGTGGTTTCGCTCCTGGTTTGTTGGTTAACAATTGGATCCTTGGGATCCAGTTGGCTTTCATGGGGCAATGGTTTCTGAGCGTTGGCTTGAGCAATCAACTTCTCAAACCATCATGTTGTTGCGTCCTCGAACCAGATTCGTTGAAACCCTAGTTTGGAGAACCTAAAGGTCACCAATTCTGGAATTTGAGGTTCGATCTGAGAGTGTTGGATTGCTTGGTGTGGGATCCAACATCGTAGAGCCGTAACGTCGGAATCTTGAGCAATCGAGAGATTTGCAATGGGTCAGGTAGCTTCTAGGATTGGAGAAAAGGATGGAGTCCGAAAGCTTAAATCCTTTTTCTGTTTCAGGGGTTTTGTCGCAAAGTTGTGGTTCTCGCTTTCGCCGGATTGTTGCTCGGGATTCTGCGTTTCAGTCATTCAACAGGATCAGATCCATCTTCTGTTGTTGGGCCAGATTATTTAGGTTTTCCCTTTTTGTAACTGTTTTTCTTTGTAAGCCCAAGTCTAAAAGCCTATTTATGGGAACCCATTAATATATTATTTAAAAAAAAAAAAAAAAAAAACTATTAGAAATTAATCCCCGATATTCCACAGGATAATATTTTATAAAAAAATTAAGTTATATTTATTTTGTTACTATTGTTTATTTTAAGTGTTTAAGTATAATATTTGAATTTAATACAAAAAGTTACACTAGTGTTTAATTTTACGAGATAGGGTATATGGTGACATGAGTTTAAGTCGTTATTAATACGAGATGATATACAATGGGTGAAATCTTAGAATTAACAAACAAAATACAATTATCGACCAAAACTTCATAATTCTATTTTCATTGTTATATTTAGGATCTCACTCGTAATATATCGGTCCGTATTAATTTTATTTTATAAATATTGGTAATGTTTAAACTTCTTATAAATTTTAAATCTTTATAATGTTTTGAAACTTTATAAAAATTGAATATCATAAATATTGAAAATGTTTTATAAAGTTTAGTTATAAAGTTTGTTTGTTTTTAGGTTTTCATCCGTAGTATATCCTATATTACGCCTCCAGTTGTAGTTGGTCCTGAGTTTCCATGTGAAGCCCCGTCCGTGTACACCATAACCTAGCCTTCATCCGGCCTTTTCCAACCGATCAACCTCTCAACCCGACATCCCCTGTTTGTGCAGCTTCTTGTAACATCAAAGGCTTTTTTGACCTCCGCTGCTATATCTTTGACGAACCGAATTCTATCACGGTATTTCCCCATTTTCCCAAAAACGTTTCTATATCTCCATTTTTAACCCCCACTTAGTTGTCATACTCAGTAGTGTTGGCCAACTTTCCCTTTCCGAATCTTGGTTATTCCCAAATCGACTTTGCAAAAAAAAAGGTGGCTTTATATACTAATAAAAGACTCTCAAATCTAAATATATCTTTATTAATACTAAAATATTACGCATTTTATTGATATTGAATAAACAATATAATATGTAAAAAAATGAAAATTATATTATATAATTTAAAATGGTGATAACCCAATGTAAAGTTTATTATTTGAGAGATCCACGACTCATATATTTTTAAAGTGGCTTCTATTTAATTTTTACAAATTCTAAATTTATCACTTATATTCCAATTAGGGGTGTCAAAATGGGTCAAAATTCATGGGTCAACTCAACTCAACTCAACTCAACTCAACTCAACCCATGAACCCTAATGAGTTGAAAATTTTGACTCAAATGAGTTGATGGGTCAAATGGGTTGATGAGTCAATTGGTTTGATGAGTAAAATGAGTTGGGTTGTAATGGTTAATGGTTTCAATGGTTTACCCAATTAACCCATCAAATTTTGTAAAATTGAATTAAACCAACTAAAATCTCTAAACCAATGCCAATTTAAGTTTAACCAACACATCTAAACCAATTTAATAAAATTAATATTTTTCCAAATTTCTTAAATATACAAGCGATGCAATTGAGAAAAAATAAACTCGTAATTTTTCCACCAAAAAACATAAACCCGTGATTTTCCTGCCAAAAACGTAAACCCGTGATTTTCCCGTCAAAAACGTAAATCCATAACTTTCCCGCCAAAAATGTAAACCCGTAATTTTCCTGCCAAAAACGTAAACTCGTAATTTTCCCACCAAAAACGTAAATCCGTGATTTTCCCGCCAAAAATGTAACCCCGTGATTTTCCCGCCAAAAACGTAAACCCGTGATTTTCCCGCCAAAAACGTAAATCCGTGATTTTCCCGCCAAAAATGTAAACCCGTGATTTTCTCGCCAAAAACGTAAACCCGAGATTTTCCCGCCAAAAACGTAAATCCGTTATTTTTTCGCCCAAAACGTAAACCCATGATTTTTCCGTCAAAAACGTAAATCCGTGATTTTTCCGCCAAAAACGTAAACCTATGATTTTCCCGCCAAAAACGTAAATCCGAGATTTTCCCGCCAAAAACATAAATCCGTTATTTTTCGCCAAAAACGTAAACCCTAGATTTTTCCGCCAAAAACGTAAACCCGAGATTTTTCCGCCAAAAACGTAAACCCGAGATTTTCCCGCCAAAAACGTTAACCCGTGATTTTCCCGCCAAAAACGTTAACCCGTGATTTTCCCGCCAAAAACGTTAACCCGTGATTTTCCCGCCAAAAACGTAAACCCGTGATTTTTCCGCCAAAAACGTAAACCCGTGATTTTTCCGCCAAAAACGTAAACCCGAGATTTTCCCGCCAAAAACGTAAATCCGTTATTTTTTCGCCCAAAACGTAAATCCGTTATTTTTTCGCCCAAAACGTAAATCCATGATTTTTCCGTCAAAAACGTAAACCCGTGATTTTTCCGCCAAAAACGTAAACCTATGATTTTCCCGCCAAAAACGTAAATCCGAGATTTTCCCGCCAAAAACGTAAATCCGTTATTTTTCGCCAAAAACGTAAACCCGAGATTTTTTCGCCAAAAACGTAAACCCGAGATTTTCCCGTTAAAAACGTAAATCCGTTATTTTTCGCCAAAAACGTAAACCCGAGATTTTTCCGCCAAAAAGCTTAAATCCGTGATTTTCGGTACCAAAAACGTAAACTTGTAAAAAGTGGAATTCGTAAATATCTTAAGTTTGATGATAATGAATTAATAATGATAATTATTTATTATTTTTTATAATAATAATTAATTAAATTATTACTTAAATGGGTTAACCCATTTAACAACTCAACCCATCAAATTAAATGAGTTATGGGTTGACCCAACTCATTTTGTTAAATGGGTTGGATCAACCCATAACTCATTTAATTATAAATTCATTTGATTATGAGTTGAGTTGAGTTGAGTTGGGTTACCCATTTTGACACTTCTAATTCCAATGCACCAATTTAATAATTTATATATTCTCATTTTGTATTTTCTTATAAATCATAAAATAAAATTATCTTTATATTAAACTCTATTATGTATAAGTTTAAATTATATATTAACAATATTTTAGTAGATATTAATTAAAGTAAATGCAAAATATTAAACAAATATTGTTTTAATTGTTATTTGATATGTTTAAAACTAAATAACATAATAAAATGATAATTATGTTTAAGATGTTAATGAAAAAAGTTAATAAATATATTAATAAAAGTTAATGAAATATTAATATTAAAGGTTTTACATTAAATAATATTACAATATAAATACTATACTGATGAGATGTTTTGCTCTTAACCACTAGACCATTGGCTTCTTCTAATAATTGAAGTGTTGCCGTGTTACTTCTAATATTAAAGCTTTTCAACCGAGACTTGTATGGATAATTCTAGATCTCGAGTTGCCGTGTTGAATTATTAATGGAAAAAAAACAGAGCAATATCATTTCACTTTATCGATAACCAAATAAAAAATGGCGATCTCTTTCCTCTGTTTTTTTCTCATCACCTTCGTTTCGTTAATCTTTTTTGCCAAGAAAATCAAACGATCAAAATGGAATCTTCCTCCAAGCCCTCCCAAGTTTCCGGTCATCGGGAACTTACATCAGATTGGAGAATTGCCTCACAGGTCACTTACACATCTCGCCGAAAGATACGGACCTGTGATGCTTCTTCACTTTGGATTTGTCCCTATAACTGTGGTCTCATCGAGAGAAGCCGCTGAAGAAGTGCTTAGAACTCATGACCTAGACTGTTGCAGCAGGCCTAAGCTTGTCGGGACAAGGTTACTCTCGCGGGATTTTAAAGATATCGGTTTTACGCCATACGGTAACGAGTGGAAGGCGCGGCGTAAGTTTGCCCTGCGTGAGCTTTTCTGTTTGAAAAAGGTTCAGTCCTTTAGGCATATCCGAGAGGAAGAATGTAACTTTCTGGTCAAGCAACTGTCGGAATCCGCGGTTGATCGCTCTCCGGTCGATTTGAGCAAATCCCTTTTCTGGCTAACCGCTAGTATCCTTTTTAGAGTTGCCTTAGGACAGAATTTTCACGAGAGCGATTTTATCGATAAAGAAAAGATCGAAGAGCTCGTGTTCGAAGCTGAGACTGCCCTAGCAAGTTTCACTTGTTCTGATTTCTTCCCTGTTGCCGGACTTGGATGGCTCGTTGATTGGTTTTCCGGACAACACAAGAGACTCAACGATGTTTTTTACAAGCTCGAAGCTCTGTTTCAACATGTCATAGATGATCATTTAAATCCTGGAAGATCAAAAGAGCACGAAGACATCATCGATTCAATGTTGGATGTGATTCATAAACAAGGAGAGGATAGTTCCTTAGAGCTCACAATAGATCATATCAAGGGGTTTCTCGCGGTAAATCAAAAGTTATCTAAACACATTAACGTTGAAATTTGATTCAAAATTCTAACTTACTTTTCTTTTTTGTTGGTAGAATATATTTCTTGCAGGGATAGACACAGGGGCCATCACCATGATATGGGCAGTGACGGAGCTCGTTAAAAACCCGAAACTGATAAAGAAAGTTCAAGGCGATATCCGAGAACAACTTGGCAGCAATAAGGAGAGAATCACCGAGGAAGATATCGAGAAAGTTCCTTACTTGAAGATGGTAATCAAAGAAACATTCAGGTTACACCCAGCAGCTCCTCTTATACTTCCAAGAGAAACAATGGCTCACATCAAAGTTCAAGGGTATGATATTCCTCCCAAGAGGAGGATCTTGGTCAATGTTTCGGCAATAGGAAGAGATCCCAAACTCTGGACAAACCCGAAAGAGTTTGACCCTGAGAGGTTTATGGATAGCTTTGTTGATTATAGGGGACAACATTACGAGCTCTTACCATTTGGGTCCGGTCGAAGGATATGTCCCGGGATGCCAATGGGGATTGCTGCCGTCGAATTGGGACTCTTGAACTTACTTTACTTCTTCGATTGGAAGTTGCCTGATGGGATGACACATAAAGATATCGATACTGAAGAAGCTGGTACTCTTACAATAGTCAAGAAAGTACCTCTCAAGCTCGTTCCAGTTCGAGTTCAGTGATCAGACCAAACTCCAAACGGTTTGGACCAAACCTTTTGAATAAATATATCATGCAAATCATGTAAGCTTCTCTGATGATGTATGAAGTATATTATTCAGTAAAATACTAAGTTGAAATTTCATATGCGAATTGTTGGTTTTGGAATTCTGTTTGAGGAATGTAACGTTCAGGAACCTGACATGTTCGGATCTGATTGATCAAAGTAACTTCAGCAAGATATATTTTTCTTCGATTTTTTGAATCGTTTGGAAGTGGTTTTAACATAACAAGCACGGCCCAAATTAATATGGCTATCCAATCCATAATTTTTTTGTATTTTTTCTAAAATACTTATCAAAAGTTCTTTTATTTTTACTATATGCCCAAATTTTCATTTTCTTTACATTTATTTTGTCAAATAAGCCAAAATATTCAAAAATAGGCAATCATATTCTAAAATTTTATGATGAAAAATCTTTTAAAGTTCAATAAATAAGTCCAAATATTGATTAGAGCCGTTCCACAAGATTTGAAAAATAATAAAACAAGTCCCTATTTACTACTAGTTGTAGTTTTATCGATAAGGCACAATAAGTAATGTAATCTAGTTATATTTCTGTACATCTATACATTGAATGTGTTGTAGGAATCTCAATGTACGAAGTTAATTAGCGAAAAATGATTATTTTGCAAATTATAAATAGTATTATGACTATTTTTCAAATTATGTTTGGAAAAGTTACTACTTTACAAATTCACCCTAAATTATAGTCAATATATTTATTTATTTTTGGACCAAAGTTAATATAATTTAAAAATATATTTTATTGGAAAAGTTACAAATGAGTTTATGTGTGAGTTTTAAAGTGAGTTAATTAGAGATTAATATATTATAGATTCTTTAATAATATATGTAAAAAGTATATCAAATAACTTAATAAGGAGAAAATAAAACCTTACTTTTATATATATCATTCAAGCTATACATCTAGTCTTTCAAGAGATAAAGTTTTTGTGGACCTAAACGGTTAGGGTATAAAAGTTTTTGGATTATCTTTTTCTCCCCAAGCAAACATATAATACCTTTTAGTTGAATAGAAAAAAGAAAGAAAATTATTATATTGAACACCTCACTTATTCTTTAAATTGAGAGGAAATAAAATTGTTGATCTAGAAAAAACTGAAGAGCTTGTGCTTGTGTGAATCTCATATGAATCATCATAGATAGGAGTTTAAATGAGAGGAAATAAAATTGTTGATCTAAAAAAAGTTGAAGAGCTTGTGCTTGTGTGATTTTTTTTTCTTTTTCTTTCCCCACTCTTTTGTGAATCTCATATGGATCATCATAGAGAGGAGTTTTAGAAGAATATACTGTGGAACAAAAATATGAGCAATAATCCGTAAAATCTTAAATTTACAGAATTAGTATGTATGACTATCAAAATTTTATTCAATTAGTAGACTTTTCATGATTAAAATGTAAGCGGTGTGAGTGCATTATCCATTGGACCTATCTAACATATACCGAAACAGAGCATTTATCCATTAGAAAAAAGAAAAAGAAAAAAAGAATGGCAATCTCTTTACTCTGTCTTTTTCTCATCGCCTTTGCTTCGTTAATCTTCCTCGGAAAAAAGATCAAACGGTCTAAATGGAATTTTCCTCCCAGCCCTCCTAAGTTTCCGGTCATCGGAAACTTACATCAACTTGGAGAATTGCCTCACAGGTCACTTCAACGTCTAGCCGAAAAAACCGGAGATGTTATGCTTATTCACTTAGGGTTTGTCCCTGTAACTGTTATCTCATCGAAAGAAGCAGCTGAAGAAGTGCTTAGAACTCATGACCTAAACTGTTGCAGCAGGCCTAATCTTGTTGGGACGAGGCTACTTTCTCGGGGTTTTAAAGATGTTGGTTTTACTCCATACGGTGAAGAGTGGAAGGAGCGGCGTAAGTTCTTGGTGCGTGAGTTTTTCTCTTTGAAAAAGGTTCAGTCTTTCGGTTATATCAGAGAGGAAGAATGTAACTTTCTTGTCAAGAAACTGTTGGAATCAGCCGTGGATCAATCTCCGGTTGATGTGAGCAAAACCCTTTTTTGGCTAACCGCGAGTGTCATGTTTAGAGTTGCTTTTGGACAGAGTTTCCACGAGAGCGAGTTCATCGATAAAGACAAGGTCGATGAGCTTGTGTTTGAAGCCGAGACCGCTCAAGCTAGTTTCACTTGCTCTGATTTCTTCCCTATTGCTGGACTTGGTTGGCTCGTTGACTGTATTTCCGGGCAACACAAGAGGCTCAAAGATGTTTTCTTCAAGCTGGATGCTCTGTTTCAACATGTGATAGATGATCATTTACATCAGGGAAGAAGATCGAAAGATCACATAGATATTGTCGATTCAATGTTGGATGTGATGCAGAAACAACGTAAAGATGATTCCTTGAAGCTCACAATCAATAACATCAAAGGAATTCTAACGGTAAAGAAAAAAGCTTAACTTGTTTCAACACATTCACATTGAAACTGAATCTTGATATTTAACTTAGTTTCCGTGTGTTTGCTAGAATATATTTCTCGGAGGGATAGACACCGGAGCTCTTACTATGATATGGGCAATGACGGAGCTCGCTAGAAACCCGGAAGTGATGAAGAAAGTTCAAGGCGAGATCCGAGACCGCCTTGGCAGAAATAAAGAGAGAATCACCGAAGAAGATAACAATAAAGTTCCTTACTTGAACCTAGTGATCAAGGAAACATTCAGATTACACCATCCAGTTCCTCTTCTTCTCCCAAGGGAAACAATGGCTCACATCAAGGTTCAAGGCTATGATATTCCTCCCAAGAGACGGATCTTGGTCAACGCTTGGGC